CAGGAAGGCAGCAGGGCAGGAGTAGCTGTTGTCAGCGGGCAAGGAGCGTGCACATCTTCTCACACCTCCCTCGATCAGCACATTGTACCCACGCTCCCCTCTCCCGTCGGCGTCGTCCAAGCAGGTCCTTCTCCTCGTCTGCTTATTCAAAGAAGGCTGCCATATCCTGTAACACCCTCGCAGATTCTCGTGTGTCTCTCCTGATAGCCGAGAGTCTCTTGACCATAACCGCCTGCTTCTCTGAGGTTCTCCGTCGTGTGTTGACCTCTAGGCTTCTTCACTCTCCCGTTTCTTGAACATAACTGTCACGCGTGTCACCGTCACTTCTCTCTCTGTCTCTCTCTATGAATTGGCCTCAGGCCCATTTTTCATAGGCTCAGCAGGCAAGTGGTCACGTCGCTGCCGCTCCAGACCATCCCCAGACCGAGTCCTTGCCGCACTCATTTTCAAAAGAAATCTCCATTGCTAACGACCTTGGTCTCGTTTCGCGAGTTGGCCTCTGGACCGCTCTCAACAGGCTCCGCTGGCGGCCGGTCCCGTCGCCACTGTTCCAGTCCATGCCAGGACCGAGTCGCCTCAGCGTCGCTCATCTCAGACTTCCCTTCGAAGTCCCGGTCGACACGTTACACCTCTCTGGTTGCGGTCCCAGTCGACGAGTCGTCTTCATAGTAGGTGACTATTACTCTCATACCTGCAGTTACTCCGTCACGCCTGCACCTTCGCTCAACCCTGTTGCGCGCCTCCATAATAGTTGTCTGTAGTCCCTCATCTCTCCTCATCTCCTGTTCCCAGTGACCACAGATATTAATTTTTAACCTCACCTCCCTTGCAGGCTTTCCGTAGGACAAAATGGTCTCGACCAATGTGCCCTTCTCACCTTCACGCTCCCACATCCAGGAGTACCGCATGTACCTCGGTCTATAGCCACGCAAACCATTTCGGTCTGCCATAGCCGTGTTTCAGAATAGCCAGGATCTTGATTTCTGGCACACGCACTCAGATGGCTCAAACTAGCTTCCACTACTTTGCCTTCCGCCCTCAGACTAGTGGCGTTAGCTCAGCGAAATAGCTGGCAAGCACCCACTGATTGGTCGTCAAACATCTAACTCTTCTCCCTCTTTTGTAGGCTCTCTCATATTGCATTCCCCGTGCTCTGAACGAGGGACTTGAATTGCTTCGTTTTTTTTCTTTTCAGAATTTAATAAAACAAAGCAAAGATAAAATAAAATAGTAAAATAAGTAGAAAAGACAGGGACCTCAACGGTTGTTGCCTCCAAAGTTTTCTATCATCACTTCGCCAATCGCCTTGTTTTGGGCGCGAAGTGACCGCAGATCTGGCGCGGTGGTCCTATAACGGGATACCGACGGCCTCCTTCCTTCCTTCAACAAGAGCCACCAGACTACCACCTGTGGGTACCCATGTCCGATGGCAAGGAGGGGACTTATGACCTTCCACAGGGGGTGATAAGCCTCCTACCGAAGCGATCGCGGGTTGCCCCTCTTTTGGGGTCCCACCTCGCGGTGCTCAACCGGACAGGTCAGGCACAAGATGATAAGTGAAAGGTCTGGCCAGTCTAAGCCACTAGGTCACAATCGGGGCTCGAAAGCGAACCGCTTGCTTCCCTTGAAATGACAGAACGGTAATAATAATAATTATAATAGAGAGGAAAATGACACTTCAAAACCCTCAGGTACCGATGCCTTGCTAGAACCATTAGATCTCGGGGCGCTAGGACGACGGTCAAAATCTAGGCATGAATTCGAAGCTCCACGCTCAGGTCCCCTTTTCTTTTCCTTTTCCCTTTCCTGTGTGTTCTCTTTTGTACCGTTGCCACTGCACTTACCCCATAATACGGCCATTGGGACCTGACGCGCAGTTGAGCAGGGCGTACTACCCTTTTACTATCCGGACCAACCTGACAGTCACTTCAGCTACGGAGCGGCTCACTGTAAAATAGTACGCCGGAAGTATTCCTTTCGAATGATACACTCCTTGCTTCATCTCCACCCATCTTGATCACAACCCTTCACAAAATACCGACTCTCCCTCGTGCATACTGTCAGGGTGAAGTGCACGTGGCTTC